TATTTATTTAATCGTCAGCGGAAGAGTCTCGCTCGATGCTGTAAGCCATGAAGAAAGCGTCAGGGCGGGAGGGGACGAGGGAATGACCCGGTCTCACAATCTCAAAGCCCAGGAAACTGAATGTCCGCAGTAGGGATGCTGAGGAGGACAGGACACAGAAACATCAACATCCAAGGCTGACTGCTGAGATTCTCAGAATATGGACATACTACAAGCCACAGTCAAGTACTCAGAACTGTCCTGGTGTTTTAGGTTTTGTGTTAATATACCAGACTTCTCTTTGTTTTAGCCAGAATCCGTCTAACAGCTACAAACTTTAAATTCTGTACAGTGTTTATTAACAGCTGACCAAACACAGAAATATGTTTTCTAACCTCTATCGTCACGGCTCTTGTGAAAGCAAATGAACACATGATCAACCTGCAGTTGCTCTTCTGCAAACTCCAGCAGGAGGGCAAAACTGTGAGGAGGAAGAAAACACAGAGTTGATGAGTGACAGGAGCAAGTTTAAGAGACGCTTGTACTTCATTTATAATGTCTTTGAACTAAAACTTTCAAAGTTTAAATTTGCGAAAACAACCGCCTCAAGGGCTTCTCACCTGTCTTTGCTGCCCTCGGGCAAGGCTCCAGGAGGGATTTCAACATAAAGGTTTCCTCCTTTCAGCGCTGCCCTCCAGACACAGTGCTTGCCTTCGGGGCGACGAGGCTCAAAGAGCAAAAAACGTACCCTGCCGTTGGCAGGTGGAGGCTCTTCAAGAACCAGCAACTGAGCATCCTAGAGGAGAGCAAATGAAATCAAAATATTTTGTAGCATCCTGTATTTACAGTCAGGTCTTAGTAAAAAAATTGTAAAGAATACGTCTAACTTACAGAATAGTATAGCTTAGCTGAAAGATTGCGATCCCGCTGATCATTCCCTCGCCCACCTGGGATCTTTAGGGGTGGGTGAGGGGCATCAGGAACACCACAGAGGCCCCGGACACGGGTTACTGCAACAGCGGGAGCACCTCCTGGGACTGGAGATACTGTGGAGAGGAACAAACACAGATGGAGCCATGGAGGAGTGTGTTATGTAAACCAGAACCAAACTCAACTGCTTTTATAACCACTAGACCTGGAACATTTTAACATGAATGCGTCATCTATGGAGTAGTAAAATATTAAGATTTCGACACACACTGCAACCTGGATAGACTTTAATGACTAACTTCACCTAATTTAGCTGCAGGCATTTCTGGAACATTCGGATTGGTGGAACTTTTTTTTTTAGAACAGAAGGTATGAATTGTTTATTCTAAGTCACCCGACAACCAAGGCTGCTTTCAAATTCCTGCATATGGATTTGTTCAAAATCCCAGCACAACAACACAATAGTTTGCTGAGTGAAACAGGGAAAAATATTTGTTTGTCTTTAGTCCAACAGGAACTGTGTCACTACGAATTACAATCTGATAAAAGTAAAGCAAATGAAACAAGCTCCTTTTTACCCCAAAGCTCTAAATAATTAACCTGCTTTAATTGTGCTGTGTGCTCAGTGTTAACAACGTGGCCTGTTTTTCTGAGCCGACATAGCCAAGAGCAAAGCAGTTAATGACCTCAGTGCTCTCAAACTCCAAAATGCTCTCTTGCTAAACTGACACCACTCCCCTCAATGTGGAGCAGCTGTGTCAAAAAAGACACAAAGAAAACACAGTCACCACCACAGCTCAGCATTAACTCAGTCCAGTTTATCACCTCACACAGACAGGACTGCACAAACCAATGCACAAGGAGGCAAAACCAGCTGCTATGGTCACATGAGCAGTGAGTCACTCAAACCCTGCTTGTATAAGAGCTCTCTGTTGCCATGTATTAACTTCACGTTGGGAACTGCCAGTACTTTATATGGATATACTGCAGTAGTACCCTCAAACATGGGTGGCAGGCAACACTCAAAAGGCTTTTTTTTCTTCAACATTAATGCATCTCACATCAATTGTAGAATAGCAACATACAACTAATCAAAACATAACTGAAAATATGCTGGTTCTGTTTGCTGATCTCAGTTCCATAACTAATCTAATATTTGTTATTAAGGGTACAATGAACTTCATATTGACCTCACAAATGAGACAAAATGACATAATTAACTCATTTTCTGCTTTGGCCTTTCCACTGCATCGGGTGAACTTAGAGCACATAAAAACACATGGTGCACAAAAACAGCAATGCTCTGTTAATTGTGTTTAGCCTCATTGTTAGTTGAATCATCAGCTACAGCTGCTTCATTCTCACCCAGTACTGGTTCGTTGGAATGGCAGGATTGGATAAGGAAGGTCAAGCAAAACAAGTTCATCTTTTTCTGGAAAGTTTATCTGAGCGTGTATTGCTGCAGCACTGTTTGATGTAGCGTTAATTCTTTTTATACAGTTTGATAGTATTTTATTTTCCTTTTTTTTTTTTAATTATTACTGTTATCATACTCTGCATTCACAACAGAAATGGACCATGGTATAACAGACAACTTAATCCTTAGTCCAGTCCAGCCCACAAGCTTAACTAAATGCACCATGGGGACCAAGGTCCAGGGGTCAATCCATTAGTCCAATGTTAATGTGAAGTTACACCAACCAAAAAAACGTATCGATCTTAAAATGCACAAAGTGCAAAGTACAGCTATACCACATAATGTACGACTTCGTATCAGAAATAGGGAATCGATTCTGTGAACAATATGTCACCAGTGGTTTCAAATCCACCATAACATCACAATAACCCCTCCTTCGCGGTGCAGTGGAAATTTCCTACGAGTCCTTCGCAATACTAGAAATCCAGACAAACAGCCTCGGCTAAAACCCGCAAGCTGAGGCATGAAGAAACTGAAAGCACATTTCCTAAACGGTAAAAATCGATTTGGTGGTTACGAACCATAATTTCAAAAGCACCTACAGTCAGTAAATACAACCCGAGCGAGCGATCGGTCGAGAAAAACAACCCGTATCCAGGGCGGCCTTATCGCTACGTAATGTTTACGAGGCTGAGCTTGAAGAAGACATCTGACCGAGGTTTTGTTTGAATAGTAGTTAACCCTTACATGTCAACATTACAACACTTGGGCATCCTGTTTTGTGATATTGAATACAAGGGACCTTCGCGTCAACAGCTGCTAAAAAAAACAAGTCCTAGGTATAACGTCAATGCGTCTGTAAAACAAGGATCGTCAGTTACAGGCTAACTTTACATAATCGTGTACTAATGGTAGTGCGACACATTTCTGACGAACCAAACTATTACCTGATCACTGGTATCTAAAACAATCTTTTAAAGTTTCGATTATGACAATTAATTAAAAACAATGTGCCTTCATGATTACTTCATTAGCGAAATCAATTAGCAACCTACCTGCAACTATGGTTGTGCATAAATAGAAAATGTAATGACAGAAAAATACCTCGTAGACCATTTTCATTAAAAAAAATGTTCTGACACCAAAATATAACATTTTAATTCGCAACATATATTAGCATAGGCGTTAGCAACAACTGAGCTCGACTGTGGGTTAGCATTATCGTTAGCTATGGATACGTTTATTAGCTGGATACTAATAATGCTTTAAAGAAACAAAACAGGATGTCATTTTCCACTATATACGTACAACTTAGGATACCAAGCACTATTAAAATTGCTATGCACTCAGTATAACGTAAATAAAAAATATGAAGAGGAACGACCATCACTCCAGGAAATACACCGTGCCAATGAACTAGGCCGCGGCTTTTAAACGGAGCTTAGCTTACTTTAGCTTGTCTTAGCTTAGCTTAATTTGGTTTGTTTAATACACAACAGCTGACACTGTCATCATCAACATACCTCCCATTTTCAGTTTTATTACTCGATTGCTCGATGACAGGCATCTTGGTTAAATTTCTCTCTTTTTCTCTTACAAAACAATGACTATTCAAAATCGTCTGTAGGTTAGATTTAACCATCCGGCCAGCGTCAACACCAGCTACTCCCTCTTCCCTCTCCTCATCTACTTATGAGCGGCTGAGAGAGTTCGCAGCCCTCCGTGTTTGTCATGGGAGTGTCCGCCCCACTGCTTCTTCTTCTCTTTTTTAATAGTAGTTGGTAACACCTTGTAAATATATTACCGCCACCCTCAGTATGGGAGTAGGTATTATTAGACCTGCTTCTCAGTCTTGAATAAGTGTAAACCATTGTCAACTTTTGCTGGTTTTATAAAACCATAGAAAAACTAGTTTCAAGACTCATGTGTATCTAGTTTTCAGAGATGTCATTAAAACATGTCTTCCAGAATAACATATTTTGTCTCTCTGTACTGTAGAAGCAAAATAGATCGCCTGTCTTTTTTTTTCTTTTCTAAAATTCATCCAGCCACACATTTTAGCTCATAGACAGACGTCAATCTATTTCAATGGTGCTTAAGTTAAAATGTTTTCACAAATGTTAACACAAAATGTTAAAATGTTAAAATGGTAAAATGGTAAAATGTTAAAATGTTAAAATGTTAAATTTTAACACAAAATGTTAAAATGTTTTTTCATAAGACGTTTTCACAGAGAAGTTCCAAGGGTGGAAGGTTGTCCTCCTTCTTTCACAGGTCATTCAAGGCCAGTTAAGTACTACTATTTCAAACTATAATTCTACACATTTTTATCTATTATTTCGTGCAAATAGAATATGTGACTGTACTGCCAGTGTCTACAGTGTTGGTCCAAACTACGGATGCGGTTTCCCTTTTCTTTTTCTTTTTTTCAACCACTCTCAGCTGTGGCTGTCAATCACAGGCAAAGGAACATGGTGCAGTGACACTGTCACTGGTGCCCACGCTTCAGAATTCACCTCCGACACCACCACACAATCACTCCAGTGCTGGGGCACAACTAAAGCTATAAAACAGGTACGTCCTCTTGCAGAGTGTGCGTGTTTAAATCTGATCCCTGTTTGACTTTAGTCACATTATAACTGTGGCTGGAAGTTCCTATTTAAAGCTGTGTTGTGTCTGAACTCCATCAGTCTGCAGTTTAAAATGTTGTCTACACTGCAGTGCAGGTGCAAAAAGTGTGTAAAGCTGTTGGCTGTTAACCCCCAATACTGTTTTGCAGCTTCATTTTTGGAACTAATTTAAAAGCCAAAGCCAGAAGTGGAACATTTGCACGTTTTATAAGTAAGAAACGTTTGTTTTTAAAATAACCACTTGGTTCTTATTATGACTTTAAGTGGTGACTGTGACTCGTCTTTGTCTTTGCAGTGTCTTATGAGCGGATTCTGTCCATCCAAGATCTCAGTGAAGTTCGTAATCCGTGGAAGGGTGTCACAATGAACCGCTGCATCGTGTTGGCTCTGGTCGTACTGCTTGTGACCTCAGGGGTCACTGAGGTGCACGGTGAGGATGTTAAAGGGATTACATTTGATCAATAAGTAACTACAGTTGTCCTTTTTGCCAAATGTTTGATAAAAGAAGGCCAAATTATAAGAACATGAAGTTTTACAATAGGTGTTAACAATTTAATTAATTAAAAGAAAATAGACAAATTAGATGTACAATGCCACATGTTTAGTTTAATGTTATTGAGAACCACAATCAATAAGAAATAATATCTGTCAGTTAGATTTGTGGTAATATGGATTATTATCTGAGAATTTCCACCACTCCACTCTGACTGATGTCTTTTAAACACCTCACCTCTCCTGTATCTCCCATTGTGTCTTCTACATGCTTTGTCTTTCAGATGCTGTTGACGCATTTGTTGAAGTAACCGGTATTAGATCTTTTGTTAGTAGTCTGCAGGATGGCTCAATAACTCAGGTATGTGTGTGTGTCCTTATCACAAAACCCACTTGTTAAAAATCACAGCAATTTGTTGCTTTTTGGTGTTGATGTAAAATACAATAATAAATACTTTTTTTAAATTACTTTTTTTTGTCACATTGACTTTAAAATAAAATACTAACTAGTATTATAAGACAAAGTACTTGTGATAAAACAACATAAAATCAAAATATGTATTGGAGTAAATAGATGCAAACTTAGCTTTATTGGTGAGTCTGAACAGTAGTCTTTGTCCCTCTAGTGGTAGGTTGGTGTTTTATTTGTTACTAGCTCAGTGGAATTTGTACAAGTAAAGTAAATAGGTGAAAGGTAAAATCACGTTGAGTTTATTTTAGTCTAAGTTTCCACCACAATACCTATTATATGCACTTGCATAAAAGAATGAGCAAACTGAAATATTTACTTGAAGACAACTGTTTTTTCTTTGCTTTTTCCAGATCTCCATATGGGACAGTTTGATGTGGTGGTGGGGATCTAAAGAAGTTGGAGTCATAAGAAAAAGAAAGAAACCGATTGGCAGCAAAGTGGTCCTGAAACCCAAATCCTAAGATTAAAGGAGAGAGGGGAGTGAACGGACAGGTGGCAAAGGTCACGGGCTGTCCACAGTACTCAGAATAAAAACAAGAATAACATCATCTGCATACTTTGTGTTTATTTACATTGACATTCGGTGGCATAAATGTGTCAGTAAATAGTAGTAGTAGTACATTTCTGTCCGGGGGGTGGGGGGGTTGGATGGGGCATGACAGAAAATAATTGAGAACCACTGATGTAGAGTGTCCAGGTAACCTAAACATGACCAGGGTTCCAACTGCTAACCCCACCATGGCCCCCAGAGACAGTGGATATACTGAAAAAGACGATGGAGATCCTTAGATCTCCATCGAGAAGACACCACAGAAGATTCATGGCTGCAGTTAGAGATGGTGAAACAGAGTTGACTCCTGAAGGCAGCTGCCAGAACAATAGGATGTACGTGTGTACTGACTCCATCAGGTGGAAATCACAGCCTTACTAAACTACACTTGTGCACTGGTACTAGTGACATTCTATCTCTAACTCTAACTAGTGACAAGTTATAAGAACAAGGAGAAAATCTGCCTCAGCGACATCCACACTCTTTAGCTATGACGTCAGGTTTAACAGACAGAAAAGCTCCGTCCTCGTTTAAATCCACCACCTCCAGGGCTTCATAGGCCACGGGCACACAGCAGGGGGCGCGCTCATCCGAGTTTCCGCCCTCAATGTGGGAGTTGAGCAGCACGGCGTGGTTGATGGTGTTGACCAAGGGGAAAGCACAAGAGCCTCGGCAGTTGTTGATGACAGCTGTGTTTGGACCCACCAGGTACTTCTCCAGGGAGACGGTGAGGCTCCTCAGCCCACAGACGGAGGCCCTGCCTGGGGTGGTTGTCTCTGCTCTGGTGGTGCGGAGACCGACCCTCAGCTTGTAGGCCTGTAGGACCGTCTGCAGAGCTTTCACAAGGAGAAATGCACGGTACTGGCTCTCACCTGGTGATGTGTACACAGTAGGAAGAGAGGAAATCAACTGACGTCACCACACATTTACAACACAAGGTCACAGAGTGTTGTCTGCTGAAAAACACAACTGAATGAACAGGTGTTCACTAGCAACATGGGAGTCACACACACGTGTGTCTGCCTACACTACACTAGTTTGATGCTGCTTTTTCCCACTGACTAAGGAACTAGTTCATGTTGCATAGCATTTGTAATGATTTTGTGATCCTACATTAACGAGTGAAGAGAATGTTTTCAAACAGCCAGTCCCCTCAGATGAACTGTCTAACAGTGCACTGTGAAGAGAAAGCATCAAATCAGCCTCGTGCTGAATATTATTTTATTTTTTAGGTTAACACTAAATGATGACCTCAAACACTGCTCTATATGGTGTAAAATAAATGGCAAAGAATGTGCACCTTAAATTTGGATTTAATAACAGGCAGAAAACTCCACGGCAATAATTAAATGTCTTTGAAATATGACCTTATAATTTCACATTTCTTGTTTCATTAGGTTTATTATGTATGACATATTTGCAGTTTTCTTTAAAGTCTGCAGCTGACTAACTGACTTTTAAGTGCTTTTGTTGAACAGAAGAAGAAGGACTGGTTAAACTGGTGTACTGTTTGCTGAGTGTTTCAGACGTATCACCTGGAGCAGGTTCCTTCGTTGGCAGCTCACTGAGTTGTTTGAGTCTCTCCATTCTCTCTGTGCTCCTCTCACCCACTGCCTCCTCCTTTATTAACTCCACCACCTGCATTCCAATGTGCTCCAGCCGCCGCCTCACCTCCTCCAGCAGAGCAGGAGACAGGGCCAACTGGCCGTGATGCTCAGAGAACGCGGAGCTCCATCCAGTGAAGGAGAAAACAGTGGGAGACGAGGAGTTCATCAGTCCGACCAAGAAGGCCTCACTGGAGGACGGGCCCAGGGACAGAGGAGGTGAGGACAGTAAGGAGTTCAGCTGGATGTGAGGGGAGTGAGGCTGATCCTGGGGTAGAACCTCACACAGAAACCTCTTTAGCTCACAGAGAAAGGAGAACGTCTGTGAGGAGGCTGAGCTGGGCCTTTATATAAAAAAGAAGAGTCAAAAAGTGAGCAGGTCTTAACAGATTTACACCTTTTACACCTAATAAGGATGTGTGAACAACAACAACCTCGGACTAGTTCCTCCGGAGACAAGCAGAAGCGGAGTGATGTTGATTTTACTTCTCGATTTTTCATCAGTAAAAAAGTCTTTGAGGTTTGGCTCTGCAGTGAGAACAGACAGTGATCTGAGTACACACGAAACAAGTCGAGGAAACCACGAGGAAATGAGAACATACTCATGTCAGGGGACGTGGTTTCAATGCCAATCCTCCAGTTCTGACGAGGGTCGCCCTCTGCTGACGGTTCACCTGTTAGCAGGATGTATCGCGTCTCTCCTGAAATGCATGCAGACTGGAAACAAAAGTAAAAATGAATCATCACTTTTTTTTACTTGGGTTGTAGCCCAACATGTGTATGAAACTATAAACCTTTCACCTGTGTGTTTGGCTGCAGAGAGTGACTGGTGAACGTGGCCTGGACATCGTCCCCTGTCAGAAGATTCTCAAACACCAGGAGCAGGACAGGAGTGAGTGCCAGCAGAGGAGATGGGGGGAGGTCCAACCTCAGCACCAGCGTTCCTCTGTCGTCTTCTTCTACAGCCACTGAAGGTGAAGGGTAGGTACGATGTGACTTTAAAGACCCAAAGAAAATACGACCGGGGTTAGGGAGCAACCTTACCATCAGTGGGATGTACGACGGTCAGTCCACTTCCCTGGTTTGTGCTGGCCTTCTGGGAGAGGGCGTGTAAAACCGAGCCTGGTGAGATACCAGGTGATCTGCAGATCCCAAAGAGAGTGAAGCTGCTGGCTGTGAGCTCATCACTGTTTCCCACACTTTCACGCAGCGCTGCAAATATGTCGTCCACGTAGCAAGGTGCACGGTCAGGGCCAGGGGCGGGAGCCAGGGTTTGTTTTTTCTTTTGGTCTGTGTTTTAAAAAAACAATACCACCTTAAAAATATTTTGCACAGTTTGCCTATAACTTTAATTTAAACTCAGGTTATTGATAACGAAGGTTATTTTCAAAAACATTAACTTTAATTTTAAGCTAAGGAAAATGGCAGGAGCTAAAAGAGCTTCTTCACAGACTGGGACATCTTTAGCACCTTTGGCTACTCAGGTGTGAAGGCTCTGAGCCAAACACAAAATGACAAGAGAAATTCTTGTTGGTCTGGTCTGAGTCCAGGAAATATACGTGAACAGACAAAGACGTCCAGGTGTGTGGTCTGACCTGTCACTGACGGACTCTGGTCCTGGATCAGCTGCTGTCCTCCCGAGACATCAGGGGCCACACAGAGCTGGATCCAACAGAGTGTTAACACTCCACAGCAGAGGACGTCCACCAGCAGCATACTTCTTCTACCGTCTTCACTCGGAGTATCTGTACTCTGTGTACTACTGCCTCTCTCTACTCTGAATGGGTCAAGCTCCAGGGAGTGGGAGTGATGTTCTCCCACCTCCTACTCCTACTCACAGGGGAAGACAACACAAGTCAAAGTGGACAAATTATTTACGTGACCTTGGTGTTTCAGAGCAGCGCAGTATTTCAAGGTGTTTCTTCACCTTATTAAGAGAGAAGCAGAAAGGCTAACCGGCTCCTCCTGGTGTTTATCTGGACTAAATGACTTTTTCTCTGTTCTTTTTCTAGTACTTATAGTTCTCACATTTGGCCTGTGGGGGGAGAACCTTCTGATTCTGACATCAAACACCTTCAGTCAGTGTGTGTGTGTGTGTGTGTGTGTGTGTGTGTGTGTGTGTGATTCCTTTACAGTGTTCAGCTACTCAAGGAGTAAACTCTAAGAACGATAAGACGGAACGGACGGACGCGGGAGGTCCGCGTCCTCTCATGGAGCTGCTCCTCCCATTGTTAGCCGCACAGCTGCAGCCTTGTTTTGGAGACACTCGGTGTCCTTGGACTGATCGGTGGACACTCGTCTCCACAGATAAAGTCAAGGTACACTGGACCCACACATCTTCAGCGAGGAATGAAAAGAACTGTTCACTCCTTTCTGTTTTCGGAGGATGATGAACAACGTTTGGCCGTTATTACAAGTACTTTCTTTTGGTGGCGCTCAAGTGAACATCTCCAATTTGGGAATAAAAACTTTACATGAATGTTCTCTGCAAATATGTGAGTGATTAAACCCTGATTTAATCAGGACTAGGGATTAAAAAAAAAGGCATCTGCAACACAACTCAGTTGACTTTCATCTTAACCTCTAAACAGACCTTCACTGTTTTACATCAAGACCTTCCAATTATTTGGCTGCAGGTTCAAAAAGGGATTTTCTCTTACATCACGCCTCTGGTCTGGACTGAACTAGTCTGGTGTAAGCATTGAATCCAATTATTACTGTATATTTTAAACAGTTTTAGATTCTGTAAACAGTTTGGAGTTTTTTTTACTCTTATTTGATTTCTGTTATATATTATTAAGGACTTCACCAGAGAAATTAACATTTTAACATAAAAAGAGAAACTAGTTCAGACTGTAGCGGCTCTACGTTACTTAATTATTAAAAACTATAGTCTACATTATAAGACAAAAGACACAGCAAAACAAAATTCAAATATTATACGAAACATTTTAATTATTAATTATAAAACGCAGAAAAAGAACAACTGGTTTCATCTGAACATCAAAGCACCAACACCAAACAGAAACCATGGAACCCAGAGCCTTTGGGAGAAACAGCCGTGTTGTTATTGTACCTCACACCTGCCCCGGCTGCCCCACTGAGAGATCATCACCCACAGCTACTGTAGTCAACTCGCCCCCTCTCACCCAGAACACAGTAAGGCCAGTGATCTCAGCTGATAGACAGAAACTGAGGCATCTGTGAGACGAGGAAGCTGCGCGTCGTAGCTGTTTCACAGCATCTCATTGAAAAGCTGGATTTTTCCCTGCGGAGGCTGGATGTATGGCTCAGTGAGAAAAAGTCGGAGATCTGACAAGGCAGCTGGTTAATTTGATTTCATTTAATGAGAACTTCGTCCTGATCCCAAGTTGGACCGAAGACAGGTTTGATCATGCTGTGTGACAATGAATATGTCCAGAGCAGTTTGCAGTGGATCAATTAGATCAGCCACCTGGGGAGTTCCTGAGTTAATACCTTTGGCAGGTTTTTTTTTTAATGCCAACAGTGTTGGCTGTGAATAATCTGCCGATAATGAAGCAGGATGGAGTTTGCTGGAGAACTGCATAGAAGACGTTCAGATCCATGATAAAGCACCAGATATCAGTGTAAGCACCTTGGAAAACTAGTCGATGTCTGACATGAGATTACACTGCACGTTGTCATAAACTGTTCTCACTTGCACATACACCACAGCGCCCCAACAGGTCAGCGAAAGCTACACATGACAGAACCGATGGTCCAGAAAACAGCCAGCCAAACTCCTGTTGAGGGTTTTTTTTAAAAGAAATAAAAAACAAAGAAAAATAAACCTGCAGAGAGCAATGGAAATAGCTGCAATTTCCTTGATTTAAGTGAAGGAGAGCACCACACCATCTGTCCAACTGTAGAAAGTATTACAAAAAAGTCCGATGGAGTCTGAAGACAGGAGTCAAAGCGTTACATGTGGCTGCAGTTGTATCAAACATCCAAGAATAGGAAAATCATAACAGCATCCACTAGAATAATTACAAAGGAGCTCAGTGCTGGTCATTAACAGACTCTATCGTCTCTAAACATGTTCTAGAAAGACTGTTCTTTTCACGTGGACACGTTCGTGTTAACAACGTTGAGTGCAGAAGACAGTTTGACATAAAGCTTTGATTATTAATTCAACTCTCCCTTAGATATGCACCGTTAAGGAAAACACACACACACACAGAGTCATACATACATACATATACACACACACACACACACACATACATACATACACAAAACTGAGCTTATGTTTTCCCACTAAGAGAGAATAGAAGCTCGGCTGCTCTCAGTGCTGGTCCACTAAATGTTTTTACATCACGCCTCACAGTTTGATGCCCGTTGTTGCTACACATCAGGGCCTCGACAGTGAGATTTCTAAAGACAAGGTGTGTGTGTGTGTGTGTGTAGAGATTAACCTGGTTAATCTCAAGTACTTTAACAGAAGCACCAAATTTTCCTGCATGATCTGGATTTTAAAACTTATGTCACAAATGGTAAGAGTTCTAGTGCCAGAATATTTGTGTCTGAGTCAGAGCACCACTGTGTTAAAAATCATACTGTTTCTGATTTACATCATTACAATAAAAACAAACAAACAAACTGTCTTGTTGCCATGATATATGATGTCATACATTAAGGTCCCGTGGTGGTGACGCTTCACTCCCCCCTCGGCTTCAAGCCTCCTGTTTAACAGGTTGAACTTAAGGACTGCAATGACAGCTCCAATACTATATTCACAAATCTATATATATATATATATATATAAATTTATATATGTGTATATGTACATATACACTCATATAGACTATATATAAACATGTCTTTATATACCCTTCTCTTCACAGTGGAGAAAAAAAAAAACCCCAAAGCTTATGTACAAAAACAGTGTCTTATTCACTTAGTCACTGTGACAGAGTAGTACTGATGGAGAAGGCGGTTTCTACAGTTCGCACACGAGGCATTCGAAGACCCAGATCGTAGCATATTAAATATGAGAAAGGAAACACCAAAAAAAAAGAAAAAAAAGGCTTTACAAATGTCTCTGTGTACAGCACCAAGTGTTTCAATTTGTTTTTGATTTTCATATTCCATTCAATAAATAAGAAGATCAGGCACAGTCCAAATGTAGCACCATTGTTTTCAGACTTTGAGTCAAGTACACACAAACACACGCATACAAACTATTGCATTCTACAATTCAACACAACTCAGGTAAAAATCTTAAAAAAACAAACAAAAAAAAAATTAGAAAAAAACAAACACCAATGCAAAGGGAGAGACCGACAGCATAAATAATCTAAATTATTACCACCTATACAGTTGAAGAATGCATCACATTCACAGTACAAACAATTCTGACACAACTTACACAGTAAAAAAAAAAAGAGAAAAGTCCAAAGTGAAGAGAATCCAGTAGTTTGTTATTGTCATGGTTAACTGTGTTTTCCCAGTGTGTGTGTGAGGACTTGCATGTGTGTGTGTGTTGTTGTATAAACTAGGCAAAACATTATTCCACAGAAACGTGTTCTTACACAAATTTGCTTAAAGCTGCATTTTTTTTCCCCTCACAGCAAAGAAATATACGAATACAATGAGTTTAAAAAGAGTTTAAAAATT